ATAAGGGCATGTTCATTAGCAGCTTAATGATTGCAATAGATATGAATGCTCAATGATTATAATATATGACCACATGGAATATATCAACAATCACATTAAGGGCATGTTCATTAGCAGCTTAATGAGTTTAATGGGACTCACAGCTTATGCGGTCAGCTATACATGACTGTTTGGTAGTGGCTTAATGTTATATAAAGTGACTTGTAAGCTTTAAAGGCGGAGCTTTATGCAAAAAGCCAAGTTTTTTCCAAACATGTCCCTCCCACTTAAAAAACACGCATCTTCCCTCTATGAAAAAACTCTCCCAAACAAAAACCTTCCCAATCTATACGGACAGAGGAATTCACAGAGACAACTTTGTCCATTCAAGACTTGATGGAAAACCAACCAAACAGCACCAAACCCTTGTTTGTTTGTTTTTTTAATCTTATTTATTTCAGGGGAAAATGCATCAGAATGCTTATTGTAACGAATAGTTTTTTCCTCAATCAATGTAACAAAGTTTCAAAATTTCCTATTTTATAATCGACTGGCAACCCTTTTGTAAACATTGCGTAAACGGATATACACATCATCAAATGTTACAAGATCAACAAATGTTACCGATCAAAATAGAATTTTTTGGAACTTTGTTACATCGAATGAGAAAAATAAAATCCATTACTCTAGATAGAAACTAAACCAAACTTTGTTGCATTTTGCCCTGTATTTTATTCCTTGATTAACATTATCCAGCCTATCTTGAGTTAAAAGAAGCCATACCTCTTGCAGTTCAGACAAAACGAAGAAGATGGATTCTATGTTTCTGGTGTCATGAATTCGAATCCGCCGCAACTCTCTACTACTTGGTTTAGGAAGGTTCACTTCAGGAGGGCAACCCTCAGGAAAGAAAAGACATTTTTGCCAGTAGTGAACATAACGGCGTTGGCTTGGTATTGTCACCTGCTCACACCATTTGCATATTTATATACACTTCCATCAAAGATATTTCAAACACATAATCAAGACCGTAATGAAGGAATCATGTAATTTAATGCTTGTCTGGGTCACATTACGATCAAACAAAAAATTAGGCATCAAACAGTGGCAGTAGGCAGACTAGTTTCCTGGGAAAATCAACGAAGTGGATGGCTACAAGTTTCTGCTTAATTTATAAAAAAAAAAACAGAGACATCAAACATATCGTAACTCCACAGGATTGATGATGAGATGTTTCATATTTTTGTTAATAATAAGAAATGCATGATCTTGAAACATGGAATTTTAGATATACATGAACATACTGCATGTGATTCATTGTATGCTTATAGTCAATGTAGCCAAATACTAGTTGGATAATATTAAAATAAGGATTTTAAATCTTCTGATGATTCTTGGTAAGGAAGTTTACCTAATACTCGTACTCGTTATGTCCCAAAATAAATGTTCATAATAATAAAAGGCACATAGTTTTAGAAATGTGTAATAACTTCACTTTTTAATTAATTAAATGACAATTTTACCCTTAATAATAGAGGGAGTAATGGATTTCTCCATCTCATAATTAAGCGTAGAATTGGAAAGAAGGCACTTACTTTCAAAAGTGGACACTTCTTTTGGGACAAACTAAATACAAATGCGGACACTTATTGGGATGAAGGGAGTAATTAATAGGCAAGGAAAGTGCTAGATGAGGAGTAAAAGAAGGCTAACATAGCATTAGCAAGTTGGATATTCCCTAATAACTTCTACTGAAGGATCAAGCTGTACTATGGTATGACCTAAAAAATTAACTATATCAAAAGAGAACTTACTCCAAGATTATTTGTGGTCCTTTTATCTGCATAAACCTGAAGAGCCTCCTCTGCTAACATGCCAGTGTAGACCAAGAAAGAAGATACCATCAAGCCTGTCCGACCTTTACCTGCCTGTTGAATTTTGAAAAAAAAATAATCTTTTAAATGAAACAAGTTCTTACAATTAGGATGTCGAATATGAGGATGTCTACTATAATCAGATTCTTCTACAGTTTTAGATATAAGTGTGTCTTAGAGATGCACAAGGCCGGGTCTTTTTTGGGCCTAGGCAGTCCAAGCCCTTTTCGGTAAACTGAAAAAAAGCCTGGGCTTTTTCAGTCCTGGGGCTGACAGAGAGCCCAGGCTTTTCCAGGCCGAGCTTTAACCTGAACACAGAATGATTAATAGAAGAAAGAGAAAAGACCTCCAAAAAAAATACAAACTTTGCAACTTTACCATGCAATGAATGACAGCAATATTCTTTGGGTCACTTGAAAGCCATGAATGAACGTTTTGGCAGAATTCCATGATCATCGGGAGAGGTGGCACATGATTATCATCAAATGGGAATTTCTCCACAAGACCATTAAAATGGGATGAATCATAATCTTGCTCTATACATAAGTTATAAACCTACAAGGTACAACGAGGAAGCAAAGAGAAAATCTAAGAAAATATGTTATTATTTTGAAATATATAATACTTATATAAGGCAAATATTCATGCACACTCCTCACCTCTGGTGAGGTTTGAACCCTGGACCTCCAGGGAGGCTGGGCTCTACCGGTAACCCGGATACCATGGGGCCAACGATCTCTGTGTGCTAGTAAGAGGGGGAGGGGGGGAAGTGGGATGAAGTAAAAGATTGGATATTTGTTGCAGCCAATGATTATGTACAAGAAAAGCCAAACTAAATGAGCCCAGTAAATCCCACATGGAGAAGGGTCTACAGAGAGTAAAATGTATGCACACTTTTCCTCTAGAGATGCTGATTCAGTAACCATATGTAGAAACAAGACCATAAATGTCGTATGAAAATCTGAAGTCATATTTTGGGGAAATATAACAGTACAGTAGACAAAGAAAATGCGTTTAAAGTATAGAATTTTTGTATGTGTCGATCCTCAAGCATACTAGTCACCTTTGGTGAGGTTGAACCATTGACCTCCTGGCCTGGGAGGCCGGGTCTACCGGTAACCCAGGTACTGTTGGGCCAGCCAATGACCCTTTGGATTAGTAAAATACCTTATAGTGTCCATGATGTCTCATTTCCAAGACATCCTTGACCTGCCACATAGGATTGCGGTATATGGCTCTCATTCGTTCAGCAGGAAATGACATTGCTAATATACGATTGGTGATGTAAGACATATCGAGATCATAACCACCAACCAGCAGCCGCCTTCTCTTTTTAGACACTAACCTACGTAAAAAGAAATGTTTCGACACATTATTGATCAGTTGATACTGCAAAGCAAGAGCATTCTGATCATTAGTGTTCCCTGGTATGAGTTTAGTAGCTTGCACTCCCATTTTTCTTGGACACTACTCTCGAGATCACCTGTGCAACCACATTTCCATAGTCAAAACAAGAATCTGAACCAAAAAAACTCAAGATACAATCATCAAATGGGAACCATAATATTCATAATCTGAGGGCCATTTGCCCAGTGTAACCGGTTTACCATAGAACCCAGCCTCCCAGGAAGCCAAGGGTTCAAACCTCACCAAAGGTGAGGAGTGTGCATGAGTATTTGCAGTATTCTCCACAATCCATAATTTGTATGAAAAAAATTCAGATAAAATGCTAAAATAAGCTGGTACCACTCTTACCCTTTGCCCCAAAGTGTTCACAAAATTATGATAATTGGAATTACCAAGTATTCTCCACAATCCATCCATGTACAAAGTTACATGGGGACAAAATCACAGTTTCTAACCAAACGAACACAGTATATCCCACTCGAAAGTAGGGTCTGGGAGGAGTATAATGTAAGCAAACCTTACCTCAACCACTAGATCGAGAGGTTGTTTCCATGAAGACCCCCCAAGCTTATGCAAAATGCAAATGTGTGTGCAGAAAGGTAATAAACCAGGTGATCGATATTCAATGGTGTGTGCATGTTTCAAAGGAGTGCAAGCAGACAATGTAATCAGGTAAAAACATGTAACATAATTAGAAAATAACCCAAGGAGCCTATTTGCCGAAACCCTACCTTCCTCTCAATACCCTTGAAGTCACCCTTACCAGGTCCTCTTAAATAATAGGCCACTCTAGCCCTTTTCCGCCAAGAACTCCTATAAGAAGTCATGTCTTCGGAAATGCCTAAAGCTGCCATGTCCATCTTCAGTTGGTCTTCCTTCGTTCTTCTAGGCCTACCTTTCCCCCTCACCCTCTTAACCGTCATACTCTCCACTCTCCTTGTTGGCTGTCTCCTACGAACATGCCCAAACCACCTCAATCTACCCACTCCCAATTTAGGAAATCACAGTTTCTGATGCCAGTAATCTCAATTACCACATCAACTGTTCAAAAAAATTATAATAGATGATGCCATGCTGTTTCCAGATTCCTATAACATTAATAGCAAGCTAACTTTTAACTTAATTCCCTGACAAAAAGGGATACATGTAAACAAATTACATAACGATACCCAGGAATCCTATTCAATTTGACTGAATAATTTTCTCCACAATCCATCTATGTAAAAAGTTACATGGGGACGAAATCACAGTTTCTGATGCCAATAATCTCAATTACCTAATCAACTTTCCAAGAAAATTCAACATAGACAATGCTATTCTGTTTCCAGATTCCTAAAACATTTAAAGGAAAGCTAACCTATAACTTAATTCCCTGCTAAAAAGGAATACAATCAAACAAATCACCCACTGATATGCAGGAATGTTATTCAATTTGATTAAATCTAAATTTTCTGGTACAACTGTTGATCAGAAACAATAAGAAAACAACCTGAAAAGCCCCAATTAAATAATTGAGATGAAATCCAACAGAATTCATGAGAAATCAAAAGGAAAGGATTAAAAGAACATACAAATTCATAAGCTGAAAAAAGTTGTCAACGCCTGTCTTCAATCCTTCCAGATTCAGAATTCTAAAACGGTAAAACCCTAACGAATCGGTAAATTTGGTCCAAAAATCGTCATAAGATTCCTTCACGATTCTTGGACCAGTTGAGAATTGTTTCCTTGGGTACATTTTTTTACTTTAAGGAGGCCAGAAGGAGAGAAAAATGGTTGCCATGTCTAAATTGAGAAAGAAACAGACACAATCGAAAAGTCTGTTGTATCTGCGAATTGAGAGTGAGTTTTAACCACAATTTCTTCGGGAGACCCAACGGAAGGATCGGAAATATGCGATTATTTTGTGAGAGAAATGGATGTTAACATGGAAAACGCAGGGAAAAGGGCAATCATTCTTGCAAGCTCTAGCCATGGCGGATTGGCGGTTTACAGGTGTTTGTTGAAGTTTACATTTAAAAAAGTAAGAGTGAATTACATTTTTAGTCCCTATACTTTGGTTTTCTTAATGAATTTTGTCCTTATTTTGCAAAATTAACATTTCGGTCCATATGGTTGCAACTGTTAACAAGTTATGTCCCGAATACAACTAAAGGAACCTAACTTGTTAATTTACGGTTGTTGTTTCCCTCTTAATTGTTTCATTAAAAGACAACTTCTGAATCGTTAAGACGTGAATCTTGTTTGTCAAAAAAAAAAAACTGTCTCTTAATAGTTCTAAAAATCCTCTGAATCATTTTGCATCTTGGGCATTTCTGAGCCATTCAACGCCATAATTCTATTGTAAACAATTACCAAACAATTATATTTTATTTTACACTGTATCATGAGCGCCTCTTAATCATTCTGACAAAAACATCAAACAGGATGAAAAATGTAATTCACGAAGTAAATCAACAAATTTACACCTTACACTTGTGCATAAGTTTTGAAATGTTCTATACATTTTTTTGATAAAAACCGTCTTCTCTCAAAACCCTGTGTTCCTTCTTGTCCCACTATCCACGTAAATACATATTATTATTTTATCTGATATAAATTTACGTAATTAATTTTTTTCATCATCTGTCGTCACCTTTAAGTGATTGATAGACATGAAAAGAACAAGGAATGTGAAAAAAAAAACATATTTTTATCCATATATTATTCAACACATGTAGTTTAGAGTTCAGATTACAGGTATTTTGCAATTTTCTGTATTCCCTGTTAAACAACAAATGGTAGCTACGGATATCGAAATCATTGCTAGAAATTCGAAAAACGTTCAACCCAGTTGGAGAAGAGGGAGAAAGACAATGAGCCACGATATCGAATAAGTATTTCAATCCAATCTCTCAGTAAGGCTGGTGATTTTCCCCGATCCGGTGGGGAACCCGACCCACCTGACCGGAACGGGGACAGGGATTCCCCGCTAAAACGGGTCCCGGGGATCCCCGGTAGACTCAAACCGGGTCCAGGGGATGTTATTAAAACCAGGGCTGGGGATCTCCGATAGACTCAAACTAATAGATATTCATCATGGGGTTTGACCAGAGACAGGGGTTGGGGATTACACCTCATCCCTGCCTCGTTGCCATGCCTTGAAACGAGTGCTTAGCATAATATAACTTTTTTTAAGGAGAGTGCGACACAACGTGTCTAATGTCTTCTACAAATTGAAATATTTTCAGTTATTTTGTTATACTTGTTAAACATTGCCCAAATGCCACTCGTCATTATTCATAAGTGTGTTACGATCTTCTTACAACTCAATTATAATGGGATTATGAGATCTTTACACAAATCAATAGCCCGGTACAGATAAGGATTACAAAATGAGTAAATCAAAAAAATTCCAATACAGTATCAACCCTTATGCTTCGTGGATAACAAGCAAAATGTCAAATCTAGGACCGACCCTTATGCTTCGTGGATAAAGATCACCCGTCACACCATGGCCATCTAGAGCACAAATCAGAATGAGACGTCGTGGACTAATCACACCGCCATAGATGGTGTCACATATGAAACAAACAGAATATGAATCACATATATGTTAATCAATATACTAAATTCCCATAGTTATCACAGTATATGGGCTTCTTATCTCATTCACAGAAACTCTTAGGTTTATTAAGACTTAAATATAAATATTGTTTAACTATAAAGTTAGATGCTAGTTTGAAAATGTAATAAAATTCTTGAATAGGGGTTAAAATTGTAAAATTTCTAAACATAAACATCCTGGACCTTTTCGTAAAGTTTTGCTGAAGCAGGGTCCAAAACTGTCAAAACAGAAACCCTTATTTTTTTATGGAATGAAACAAAGCATATTTTATAATAAACGGGGGCCAAAATGTAATTACTGAAACCTAGTGGGCCAAAATGTAAAGAAAACCAGAAACATCAAACATACCGTCTTCTCTACCCGTTCCTTACCCATGACCCGTTTTTCTTAACCCGTTAAAACTACCTTAAAATCGACTCGCTTTTCGTACTGTTTTTAATCCAAAACTCATATTTATGACTTATTTATACAAGATATTAACGATTTTATCCATAAATCGAAGCAAAGCAACCCCATTCGCGATCTTCCAATATTGGGTAAAACCGCCATTAATGGTGCTGATACAGCAGGCTTTTGAGCTTTCAAAAACGCAATAAAAATCGACAAATAGATATAGAAATCCAACCTGAACAAGTAATACGAAATTAATACGTAGATTAGGATTGAAAATTACCTCAAAAATCGCGAGCAAAATCTTGAACTCGAACCAGTAAAAGGTCGCGATTTTCAGAAACAATTATTAGGGTTTTGAACTTTGATCGATATTTCAACCATTTATAAGGTAAAGTTTTTGGGTAAATATGAAACTAAAACCTTTACCATATTCGACACAGCCATCAAAGAAATACATATCTCCATCGAATCACTAAAAATTCAGACTCCAATCATACATTTACCGTTTGTGATCCCAAACTCCGTGTCCGTCGTCGTCATCACCGTTTCCCCGGTGAATATGATTACATCTCCATGTTCGGTAGTAGGTGTTTGGGATTGTTTATTTGAAACAAATTATACTTGTCAACTTGTTATAAGTTAGAATGGTGTAACTTCTTCAAAAACTCTTTATTACCGGTTTGACCAGGGGCGGACCGCCATATGGGCCTATAGGGGCCCTGGCCCCTGTGATTTTTTTT